AATTGGCTAAAGGATAGGGACCGTAATACTTCTTTTTTTCATTCTAAGGCCACCCAACGTCATCAGAAGAAGAAGATTGCTAGGATTGTTGATCCTAATGGAATTTAGCCGGAGGATCAAAGTGTGGTGGAGGACAATTTTGTGACTTACTTTCAGGAGTTATTTTCGGCGGGTGAGGGTCTGAATATGGACCTAGTTTTGCAGTTGATTCAGGTAAGAGTTTCCAATCATAGTGTGTCTCAACTGAATAGACCTTTTTCTGAAGTTGAGGTCCACCATGCGCTCTTCCAAATGCATCCAACGAAGGCTCCAGGGCCCGATGGTAAGCCTACGTTATTTTTCCAAAAATTTTGGCAAGTGGTGGGTCCTTGTGTGAGTACTGCGGTGCTTGGGGTGTTGAATGGGGTTGATAAGATTTCTCATATTAATCATACTTTTATTTTGCTGATTCCTAAAATTAAGAATCCCAAGCTAATGTCAGAATTTCGGCCAATTAGTTCATGTAATGTGGTCTATAAGATCATTGCAAAAGTGTTGGCCAATCGTCTTAAAGAGGCGCTACCATCTGTTATTTCCGACACTCAAACTGCTTTTATTCCTGGCCGTTTGATTACCGATAATGCGTTGGTGGCCTTTAAAGTGTTCCATTTTCTTAAGAACAAGAGGACGGGAAAAGTTGGTTGTCTTGCGCTGAAACTTGACATGAGTAAAGCTTATGACCGAGTGGAATGGCCATTTATTCATCACATAATGCTCCAGTTAGGCTTTCTGCAACGGTTTGTGCAACTACTCATGAATTGTGTGGCCACAGTATCTTTTTCCGTTCTTGTTAATGGGAAACCTTCAAGAATGTTTCACCCAACAAGAGGCCTCCGCCAAGGGGATCCGCTTTCGCCATATTTGTTCACTATTTGTGCGGAGGGACTATCGGTGCTCCTCGCCCATGCTATGACAGGGAACAGACTGTCAGGGATTTCAATTTGCCAGGGTAGTCCACGATTGTCGCATTTGTTTTTTGCAGATGACAGTCTTCTTTTTGCGGTTGCTAAGGAAGATGAGGCGGGTGTGTTGCGAGATATTCTCCAAACGTATGAGCAAGCATCGGGGCAGAAAATTAATTTCCAAAAGTTGGCTGTTTGTTTTAGTAAGAATACGGCCTTGGTTACTCAGCAAGGGGTGACATCCATTCTTGGGGTGGGTTCGTTGGCGACTTACGGGAAGTATTTGGGGTTACCGTATTGTGTGGGGCATTCTAAGCGCGCAGTTTTGGGGTTTGTTAAGGAGCGCGTATGGCATCGTTTAAATGGTTGGAAGGAAAAATCATTATCGGTTGCGGGTAGATAGGTGCTAATTAAGTCTGTTGCCCAAGCTATACCCACTTACATTATGTCCTATTTTCGTCTTCCTGATGGAGTGTGTCATGAAATTGATTCTATGGCGTACAACTTTTGGTGGGGACAAAAAGAGGAAACCCGTAAAATTCATTGGACTAGCTGGAAACAATTGTGCAAGCCTAAATTGCATGGTGGTATGGGGTTTCGGTGCCTACAACAGTTTAATTCGGCTTTGTTGGCCAAACAGTGTTGGCGTTTAGTGCAGCGGCCTCAATCATTGGTTGCGAGGGTGTTCAAGGCTAGGTACTTTCCTCAAACTTCATTTCTTAATGCTTCGGTTGGGTGCAACCCATCCTTCACCTGGAGGAGTATAGTCAGCTCTCGAAGCTTACTAAATGCCGGACTACGATGGCGAGTTGGGAATGGTGCGAGCATTTCGGTTAAGGATGACAAATGGGTTCCACGGCCTCACTCTTTTAAAGTAATTTTGCCACCTTCGACCATTTCGGACGATGTGATGGTTAGTGTATTGATTGATTCTGAGAAGGGTGCATGGCATGATGAGATGCTTACTCAAAATTTTTTGGGAATGGATGTGGAGGCTATCTGATGCATTCCTATTTGTCCAACGTTACCTTTGGATAAATTGGTCTGGCATTTTTCAAGAAATGGCAAGTTCTCGATGCGCTCGGCTTATCATTTGTGTGTGGATATGGCCTCTTTAGCTGGGCACAGTGCTACCTCCAATAATGGACAGTCGCAACGGCAGTTTTGGCGAGCTTTATGGCAGCTTCATCTTCTGAATAAACTCAAGATTTTTGGATGGAAAATGTGTCTTGGGTTGCTAGCCATAAGGGCCAATTGGCGGAAACGGCATATCGTTAATATGGATTTATGTGCAGGGTGTGGAGTTGAGACTGAAACGGTAGGCCATTGTTTTCACAATTGCGGGTTTGCAATGAATGTTTGGATGTCGAGTTCGCTAAATATGGTTATCAGCTCTACTCCTGTTACCAATTGCTTTGAGTGGGTTTGTAATCTCATGGACAAGACTGATATAGAGCACATGCGGTTATTTATCACTATATGTTGGTGTCTTTGGAATCATAGGAACTTAATTATCTTCGAAAATAAATCTAGGACTGTGGAGGAAGTTGTTTCTTTTGCGGTGAACTATGTATCTGACTATGATCAAGCTCAACAGTGCAGCCAACTTCCTGCGGCTCAGGTGCGGATGCGACAATGGGTTGTACCAAGTGAGGGTGTCTTTAAACTGAATTTCGATGGCTCCGTTAGAAAGGCCCAAGCCAGTGCTGGTATTGGGATTATTATTCGGGACTGTCATGGGGCAGTCATTGCTTCTATGGTTGAGTGGATCCCGTATTTGGAGGATGTTGATTGTGTGGAAGCTATGGGTGCGATCAAAGCCCTTCAATTGGGATGTGCTTTGGGTTTGGGTCATATTCATCTTGAAGGTGATTCTCAAAATGTGGTGACTACAATCGAAGGCAAGGAGGATAATTTATTTTGCTATGGTCATTTAGTGGGTATGGCTCAAGCGCTTCTTTTGCGGTTTCATTCTTCATCGGTTTCGCATGTTTGTAGAGATGACAATTCGGTGGCTCATTGCTTAAGTAGGCTCGCCTTTGATTTTGCTTCACCACGAGTTTGGATGGAGGAGGTTCCTCCTTCTTTAATGGCGTTGGTGGTGTCTGAGGCTTCTTCTTCTTCTGTATAATTGCTTATCCTATCTAAAAAAAAAAAAAAGTAACCATAGGATATGAAATGGTGTTTTATATAACACTAATTATATTATTTAATTTGCTTTATTTTATATATGTGATAGTTGCATGTAATATAATACTTAAACCTGATCACTCTAGTATAGTCATAAGGCAATTTATTTCAACTCGAAATGGTAAAACTTTAATCCAGACATCATTTACTATCTAGTAAACATGTGCCTCATCTACTAAGCCGATTTTTTGATCTTAAATTTACAATGCATATGTTAAGTATAGAAAGAAAGAAAGAAAGAAAAAAATGTAGTTAGTAACTCACCCATATTTTTTGGATCAATCCCACCTAAATGTTTTAATTTTTTTTTCTTTGAACACCTATCTTAATTCTAAATATACCTTTATTCTTATCATTTTAGCCATCTCTCCCCGACACTATATGAATCCCCTCTAACAAGGCTCCCCAACATTATGACAACATTTTCTTTCTTCTCGCCGCTCTTTTTTTTTCTCTGAACTAGTGCCTAGAAGGTAGTGGGAAGCTATAGGTAAAGGGAAAAGGTATAAGAAGGGATTGAGAGGTCGGAGGAACAATTGAAAATGGCCATCACTTGGAGTGGTGTTGAGTTAAGGTTAGAGTTTAAAATATCAGACGTAGGGATACTGTTGAAATTTTATATTAAAACAAAATTATAGTTAAAAAAATCTATACATACAAAAAAAAACCCTAATTGGTGGTCGAATTGATTTCTAATGAATAGTCACAACAGTCTAAAATTTTTTGAACAAATTTTGTTTATATAATGTTACCCATTTAAAAAGTTATTGAAAGGTGGGGAAGGTCGTAGCCAGTGACCGTGTTATATGATTTCTTTATCAAAGCCAAATAACAAATCTACACCAAACATTTTCCATATCTAATTGTAATAAACAACAATGATAGAAGCTACTAATTTTGGAACTCTAAAAATATCACTAATAACATGACACTCAATAAAAAAAAGAAAAAAAATACAACACTAAGGCCAAAACATCAAATCATTCCTGATGGAGCCTACTGCCACATCATTAATGATAACACTAATTAGTGCTCTCCTTTATTTTCCTTATAATAAACTACAATTCCTTAACTAGTCCTGCTTTCATTTCAGCTTCCTATAAGATATAATGTTACCCATTTAAAAAGTTATTGAAAGGTGGGGAAGGTCGTAGCCAGTGACCGTGTTATATGATTTCTTTATCAAAGCCAAATAACAAATCTACACCAAACATTTTCCATATCTAATTGTAATAAACAACAATGATAGAAGCTACTAATTTTGGAACTCTAAAAAGATCACTAATAACATGACACTCAATAAAAAAAGAAAAAAAATACAACACTAAGGCCAAAACATCAAATCATTTCTGGTGGAGCCTACTGCCACATCATTAGTGATAACACTAATTAGTGCTCTCCTTTATTTTCCTTATAATAAACTACAATTCCTTAACTAGTCCTGCTTTCATTTCAGCTTCCTATAAGGAGCAAGGATCCTCTAGAGTGATTTTTCTCTAAAGTTTCCTAGAGTGCTACACTGTGTGGTTGAGATTTACTGGCAAGTCACATCAATTTTTCTGATGTGACTTGTTAGTAAATCTCAACCACACAATGTAGCACTCTAGGAAACTTTAGGAAAATTTCACTCTAGAGGATCCTTGGTGTCCTATAAGACTCCCCCACAAAACCAAACCAATATCACCTATCAGTCTCTCATTCACTCTTTCTCATACTCATCATCAACTTTCTAACCCATAAAAATCAGCTGGTGGTGGTCCGGAGCTATCGGCGCTGCAAGGGAACGTCTCAGATTAACCAATCATCATCTCCAATATTGCTATACTTATAATAATTACAGTTAAGAGTTTACTAACCTCTCTCTGATTTTTACAGAAAAAATTCGACGAAGATGAACGTCCCAAAAGCTACCAGTGCGTCGGCCTAATAGTCGGCGTCACCGGCATCGTCGGCAACAGCTTGGCCGAAATCCTCCCACTCTCCGACACCCCCGGCGGCCCATGGAAGCTCTACGGCGTCGCTAGCCGGCCCCGCCCCGCCTGGAACTCCGATCACCCCGTCGACTACATCCAGTGCGACATCTCCGACTCCGCCGACTCCCTCGCCAAGCTCTCCCCCCTCACTGACCTCACCCACATCTTCTACGTCACCTGGACCAACCGACCCACCGAGCCCGACAACTGCGAGGCCAACGGAACCATGCTCCGCAATGTCCTCAAGGCTGTGATCCCAATCGCCCCCAATCTCACCCACATCTGCATCCAAACCGGAACCAAACACTACGTCGGACCATTCGAATCGTTCGGGAAAATCCAACCCCACGACCCCCCGTTCACCGAGGACATGCCCAAGCTTGATTTCCCCAATTACTACTACACCTTAGAAGACGTCGTCATCGAAGAGTCCGCCAATAAAGAGGGCTTGACCTGGTCGGTCCACGGACCCGGTGCGATCTTCGGGTTCTCTCCTCTTAGCATGATGAACATCATCGGATCGCTCTGTGTATACGCCTCAATCTGCAAGCACGAAAACAAACCCTTGATTTTTCCAGGAACCAAGGCGGCTTGGAATTGCTACTCGATTGCGTCCGATGCGAATTTGATTGCGGAGCAACAGATATGGGCAGCGGTGGATCCGAATGCGAAGAACGAAGCGTTTAATTGCAACAATGGGGATGTGTTTAAGTGGAAGCATCTGTGGAGGACTTTGGCTGAGGAATTTGGGGTCGAGTATGTGGAATTTGATGAGAATGAGACAGCGGTGAGCATGCTGGAGAGGATGAAGGATAAGGGACCGGTGTGGGATGAGGTTGTAAGAGAGAATGGGTTGGCGGTGACTAAGTTTGAGGAAGTTGGCTTGTGGTGGTTTGTGGACATGTCGTTGCATTGGGAGGCTATGCTCGATAGCATGAACAAGAGCAAAGAGCATGGGTTCTTGGGGTTTAGGAACTCAAAGAACTCATTCGTATCCTGGATTGATAAAATCAAAGCTTATAAAATTGTTCCATAAACAAATATAAGCTCTCAATTCTCATCATTAACAATGTAAAAAAAAATGTTGAAACTACCACCAATGGATTTCACAATATGCTATGAGCTCTTTGTGAATCCAATAAATGTTTCACTTGTGTGTCTCTTGATTTAAATTAGTGTTTATAGCCATAGTCAAGTTTGTATGTCTCTCTTTGTTTGGACGTTTTTTAGTTACGAGGCTCAAAGCTTTTCTTGTACTAAATAATCTCTCTCCTCTATTTGAAACAGAACATGTTCATTTTTGCTTACAAATAGTCGGACCATTCGTTACAACAAAAACAAAAAAAGTAGTAGGACCATTACTGTTCTACAAGAAGACTGATAATTTGGATTGGAACACTTAATCTGATGATACTGTCCGTTCCGAGTGGATGGGTCAGGCTAGCCCAGGTTCTTCAGGTTCCGGTTTCGGGTGGTGATTCCGTCAAATGACCTGCAAACAAATCCAAAGGGGAACGGGGCAGTCCCCCAGTGAACCCTCCGGCGAGAGAATTAGTAGAAGAAAAACAGGAAAATGTAGCGAAGAAGATGGAGAGATGAAAAGCTTAACCTTATTCTTGTGCTTCTCTTGTTGCTTATATCCTTTGGTAATCATTTCACTGTCCTTTGTGACGTGCCCCCCTTTCCGCCGAAAGCCTGTGCCGTAGCTTACCTTGTTCAGGGTGAGGGGGCTCTGTTCCGACGGGGAGGTGTTGTCGTAATAAATGCTGTGATGGGCTGCATTAATGGTGATGTGTTGTGGCAATAACTCTGCAGATCTTTGTCTGCTGATGTGGCCTGTGTTTCACCTGCCATGTGCCCAAAAGGAAATTGAATAAAAATAGTAGTTGCTAAAAATTAACATTTTATAATGAACTTGATAAAATATCATATTCAATCCATAATCATTTTATTTTTTCTCTCACAACAATCAAATCAACTATAGAAAAATAAATAAAATAAATAAATAATTTTTCAAACACAACTATTTTAGTCAAGCTAAAATAGCTAAAAAAATCAAATAACCAACTAAAATAATTTTAATTTCCCAAACAAAGCGTATGTTAGGTGCCTTCAATTTTCTTCATTCAGAATTGTGAGCCCACATTCCATTTGAATAAGAGCTCCAAAGTTCGGAATTCCATTGGTAACTGCTTTCGATCCATACGGTATCTACTGATATTAATTTTGGATCCCAACAAAAAAAAGATGATTTCTATTGAATAGAAGTTTCCAATCTAACTTCATTAATTTATGTGGATGGCCACAAAAATTGCTCAATATCAATGAAATATTCTCTTTTTTTTTTTCTCCGTTAGTTGTTGGAGCCCAAAAAAACTTTGGAGGTTAATTCAAGTCAAATTTGGGGATTGAAAAGAATTCAATTTCTACGAATAATCATTTGTCACGCATGTTTATTAGACCGCGTTGCTTGCAATGTGCAAAGGTGCTTGTCGATTTTTAAACACATGCCTAAATGGCTAAACAACTCGGTGCATTACTAAACTCTACTTGTGTACATAGCAAATATATATTATTTATTAAGGCAAATTACACTAAGACTCTCTATACTTTGAGATTTATGTCACTGTAACATCTGACTTTTTAATTGTGATTTATTTGACTTTTAATTTTGAATTTTGTTCCAAATAAAGACAATTAAAGATATTTGTTTTGCAAACGGTCTATTTCAAGGGTAAAATCACCATATAACTTATTTTGTGTTAGTTAATTATTTGCCATAGCTAAACCCGTTATGTTTTATGTTCTCTCTCGAGATTAAGGAACTAGCTTGACAGATGAGGTGTTTACTTATTCAACATAATGCTAAGATTTTGTTATTGTGCTATCTTCTTCTATTTTTTACCCACCGATTATGCTTTTTTTGTTGATAGACATTCCTCTACTCTTTTAAAACCCAAAGTCATTGACTAAAAGCATGTTCAATATTTCAATCATCACATTCACACATATGATTTTCCTAAAAGTAAGTATATAGTAAAACATAAATAAAACTCACCCAAGTCATGAGGTCAGTCATTTTGTTCTCTGTGAAACCCAAAGAACACAAACGAGAGCATGCATGCTTTTGGGTTCTCCAATAAAGAGACTGTCTACATGAAAAGTAGTCTAAGATGCTAATTATGAGATAGCATTTATTCAAGTGTCAGTGATAATGATAACCATAGGATCATATGATTATGACAAAGAAATGAAATGAAAATTTAGGTAAGAAACATAGTTCTTTGACTGATGGAATAATCATCTTTCAATTTGCATCCTTTGCGTATGTATCATCATGGTGGTGGTCAATGGTCATAGTCTTTGTAATAATCCCTGAATTTGAAGAACCCCACTTTTCCAAAGATGGTGAGTTTTAGGCTACCTTTAAATTCATTATCTTTTTGCTATTTTTTTTGTAGTGTTTTTTCTTTGTAATCATCCTTAATGTTTTTTCATCACCTATTTTGATCCCTAACATTTATGCATGCAAATTCATTTCTTGCCTTTGAATTATTTTTCTTAAGATATTATATTGTTCTACCTATTATCGTTCAGTCTCTCGAACCGGCCATGGTGAAAGCTCTAGGATGAGGCATGGAAACAAGGATTGCAAAGATTATTAGTTTGATTTTCTTCCATGACCGAGACTGACTCATCTATGTTTGTGCATATGATTATTCACCCTGGGGCTGACCCTACTACAACTCCATGCAACTATGGGAGTGTTTGGGAAGAGGATTGGATTAAAATAATCTACTAAAAGACAAAATAAGTTAAAATAATCTATATGATAAAATATCATATTCAATCCATAATCATTTTATTTTTTCTCTCACAACAATCAAATCAACTATAGAAAAATAAATAAAATAAATAAATAATTTTTCAAACACAACTATTTTAGTCAAGCTAAAATAGCTAAAAAAATCAAATAACCAACTAAAATAATTTTAATTTCCCAAACAAAGCGTATGTTAGGTGCCTTCAATTTTCTTCATTCAGAATTGTGAGCCCACATTCCATTTGAATAAGAGCTCCAAAGTTCGGAATTCCATTGGTAACTGCTTTCGATCCATACGGTATCTACTGATATTAATTTTGAATCCCAACAAAAAAAAGATGATTTCTATTGAATAGAAGTTTCCAATCTAACTTCATTAATTTATGTGGATGGCCACAAAAATTGCTCAGGCCTCGTTTGGGAACAGGCTAATTTAGTAACTTTTTGGCTATTTGGCTAAAAAGGTAGGTAAAAAAAACTTGTATGTTTGGGATGACTTTTTGGTTAATTACGAAAAGATGTGCAAAAAGTAGAGAGAAAAGAGAATCTTTGACTTTTTGGTATGGGTTGTTGGCTTTTTGGCTAATTTAGTAACTTTTTAGCTAATTGGCTAAAATAGCCTCTTGCCAAACGAGACCTCAATATCAATGAAATCTTCTATTTTTTTTTTCTCAGTTAGTTGTTGGAGCCCAAAAACACTTTGGAGGTTAATTCAAGTCAAATTTGGGGATTGAAAAGAATTCAATTTCTACGAATAGTTATTTGTCACGCATGTTTATTAGACCGCGTTGCTTGCAATGTGAAAAGGTGCTTGTCAATTTTTAAACAAATGCCTAAATGGCTAAACAACTCGGTGCATTACTAAACTCTACTTGTGTACATAGCAAATATATATTATTTATTAAGGCAAATTACACTAAGACTCTCTATACTTTGAGATTTATGTCACTGTAACATCTGACTTTTTAATTGTGATTTATTTGACTTTTAATTTTGAATTTTGTTCCAAATAAAGACAATTAAAGATATTTGTTTTGCAAACGGTCTATTTCAAGGGTAAAATCACCATATAACTTATTTTGTGTTAGTTAATCAATATGCTGTTTGAAAAATAATGGCCTCTCTTTTAATGAATAATGCGCCACTTTCTTGGTTACAAAGTTCTATTTAGTTTGATTTTCATAATCTATTTTTAGAAAAAAAAAATTAAGAAATTAAAAATTAATTTGGTGGGAAAAAAAAAACATATCATTTTTATATAATTTTATCTTTTGGATGAGTGAAAATTATTTTTTATATTTATTTTCGTTAAATTAGTTTTTATTTTTTCAAAAATCAAACATAACGACAACTTTGATGTTATTATTTAACCAATCCATTAAATTAAAAAATTTAAAACTACAAACATTTCATATTTTAAAATCAATTACACATTAAAAATCTAATAACCATCCATTACATGATAACCATCTAAAATATCTGTTAACTACTAAAACAATCATCTATTACATGATAATCATCCAAAAACATCAACAAAATCAACCACCCATTACATGATCATCATCCAAACATAAATTAAAAATTAATTTGGTAAAAAAATAAAAATGTAAAAATGTAAAAGATTTAGGGAAAATTATTTATAAGCTCTATTAAGAAGACTTATATTATATGTGGTCCTACTAAAAAACTTATGTTCCCATAAGTCCTACGGGAAGTTTGTTGACACATTTACCATCAATATTAGTTGTTAATATCATAAATAATAGTAAAACCATATATAGGAAATTGAATGTTACCATAGATCATATCTATATAAACGTAACGTAACGTAACGTGACACCTACATATCTACATAAACGTAACGTAACGTGTCACGCCCCAAAATTCGAACAATTAAATATTATATTAGGACTAACCCCAATCAATATTTCATCATCCAAATCTTAGGGGTGAAACCAAAAAAACTAAACGCAAACAAAACCATCTACCATAAATGCATAACTAACCAATACCTCATCATCAAGGTAACAATAAATAGTCAAAACAACTTAAATAAAGTACGGTTACAAACCATTCCAAATTATTCCAATACTAAAGTCATAAAAAAAATAATAAATGCATGAACTACTAACAACCCTAAACTCAAGAAAACAAAAGAAATCTAAGAGATATGTCCAAAAACTATAGTTACTTCTCGTCACCACCGTAGCCTCAACTAATCCTGCAAAGGAAACTCAGCTGCGCTCAAACAGAACGCACCCGAGTTGCCAAGAGATAAAACGAGTCAGTATACAGGTATACTGGTATGAGTACAATATTTAACACCCACGTGTCCACCAGACACAGACAAAAATACATTTAATTCTTATCACGGGACAAGACAAGTAGTTCCAACCGCACCGAGACGAATGGGTAGTTTCCCGAGATACGGTGGCATTTAGTTTCTTGTCCGTACACAACGAAATATAAATTGA